CTGCTATGAGAGCAGCTAGTTGCCACTAAAGTGAGGAAGAAACCTAGAGATGTCATATATATGTATTTAGGTCTCTGTAAGTTCTACCTAACCAGACTAGTCAAGTCTGTCGAGTCAAACCCACTGTACAGCACTAGAAAGATCACTGCAGGAAGCCTGCTATGGAACAAATCCAAACTTGATCAAACACAAGTCAACTATTGACAGATAAGTCAAATACAGACTTACAAAACATATGGTATATGCTGTTTGTGGTGCTCACAGGGACAAGCAGAAGCCCACGCAAAATGGTAAGCTTATTTGGTTGTGAAAGGATTACCCCGGAGAGTAAAACCCACAGAATCACAGCAAATTGGTAGGTGGGTTTTGTAAAACCTCGGAGGTTTCTTGCGCTGAAACTTTCAATGAAAACTTTTCATTGATACAGTGAGATGTCAGCTGAGAATCTCAAATACAGATAGTTCTGAGGTACAGAACATACATCATACAGGCCTAGCCTGGCAGTCTTCCTTAGTCCGTGGTCTTGGGTGCTGAGACCTTAATAAAAAGGCAGCTCCATTCATCCTTTGTTGGGACTTCTAGGGATAACACCAAAGTGTCCTCTACTGGACAAAGGAACTTGCCTATAACCAACCCATGTCATGCAACCATGTGATAGCAACATACTGTGGCTACTGCCTATCTAGCTAGGACCGAACCAGTGATTTAAAGACAATTTAGATTATTGCGATGCAAACATTCTGAAATGAACCACAAATTGCCTTGGAAGAAGGGAGCAGGGAACAATTTTTATGTCAAGATTCAAGCAAGACATAACTCTTGTTTTCCTGATCTAGGCTGACGTGTTGGGTTTTCTAAAGAGCTACACTGACAGAGAAAATGAAAAATTCTTCTCCCCTCCAACAGAAATCCTAGAAGGCAGCTTGGCAGTGCTGGCAAATGTGAAATACTCTGCTAAAATAAGAAGCTAAGCAAAAAGGTAACAAGGGCTAACGTGGCCCAGACAGCTTAGCATCGTATCTGGAAAATAACTTGGCATCCCACTTCACAGCTACATCCAAACAGAGAGATCAGCTCTGTTTGCTACATCAAACATGGCTCAGACTTCTTTTTCTCTCTTCCTCTCTCTTTAAACATAAATAGTTCCAGGCTCTTAAATAAATTAGCTCAATTTTGGTTATACAAGCTGTTTCATTTTTCCTCCAAAAGGGAATATGGATGTTTGTTTTACAAGTGTAAATAAAATATAAACAGAGATTTTCCATTGCATAGTGATCCTTTCCAGTAGGTAATGATCAGTGCTATGTCTATTTTTCTTTCTTCTCCTGTACTTGGGGATCACAGCATTATTATCACTACTTCTGATGGGAAACGGGCGAAAATCCGTGCAGTAAGGGGAGGTTTCCTTGAACTTATTGTCCATAATAGCAAAGTAATAGTCAGATTTAAAATGCATAGAAAATACCTGCAACAAAATTACTTATTGTTGTTAATAATTTTGTTCTGCTCTCTTTATGTGTAGGTGTTGCGTGGGACATGTGAACTCTAGAAAGGCTAATTAATGAGAGACTAGCTCTTAAAAGCCCTACAAGCACTTACCACTGGCTCTATTGGGACTGTTCCTAGGAGTCAAGTGGTGTCTATCTGGATTATGTTGCTGCTGGGATTTTTTGGCATGAAGATAGTTACAATAGTGTAGCTCTAGGATAAAAAATGCATCATGCAGTAAGACTGTAAGCAGAAGGTTCACCCTACCTTCAAACTGTGGCAAGTTATTATGTGTATTAGCGTGGAAAGTTTTGACTGTGCTTTCAAAGATGCAAAACCAAAGTAGGTCTTAAGTACTTCCACGGTGGGATGTGAAGTTTGGCTTTAGGGCATGATTAGCCAAGGGCAGGGGTTTTTCTTTTCAATATCACAGTGATGCTTCACATCCTTCCTAAAACTGGCTGGGGTGAGGTGTCTCTGGCTTTGAATCTTTCCCTAGCATGGAGCAGATTATTGCTATTATTATTGATTTATGTCATGCCTGTCTGCTTCCAGCCTCAAAACACTTTACTAAGTTACAATATACATAGGAATCATTTCACATCAACCACCACCACGCTGTAGCCTACTCTGGAGGGAAACTGAAGGGAGCCATTAGGATGGTGCCTGCAACATTAAACAACAATCCAGGAGAGGAAGTAAAGAATACTCTGGCTCCTTAAAGCAATGGCTCAACAGAATGCAGTCACTGAACTGCCATCCAGCTGGGACACCAAAGTCAATACCCATTCACCGTGTGTGGTTAAAATTAAATCTCCTAATGAAGTGAGATGGTTTTAGTGGTTAGAGAGTGAGTGCAAAGTATTATTCTCCTGTATTATTATTTGTAAGTTATACAGCTAACAAGGGAAAAGATCACACACAGGAAAACAGCAGACTGTTAGATAATGTTCCAAGCCCAGTTTCTAAATGACATTTGGGCACATAAAACTTTGGAAAAAGTATGTTAAAAAAAAAAAAAAGAAAAAGAAAAGATGGCACATAAGAAAGGAACTGGCAGTTTCACACTCTTTTTAGGGAACTAAACTGAACAGAAGTGATGTCAGGTTTTATCCCCTATAATTCAGAGCCAGAGAAAAGAACATTATTAGCTTCTGTTAATGAGCAGGTATTCCCTAAACACTGCTGCAAATGCTCCTGAATTTTAATTTGCTTAGAAAAAGAAATGGTAAAGTATTGAGGGGAAAAAAACTAACAGCTTATTCGCTTCCCTGAATTAGTAAAGCGCTTAGATAGTTTTCTGGGAGAAGGTTTATATATATCTGACTAAAAAGATCCTCTCACAATGTTATCAAACTCTCCTTTCAGGGCTAGTAATTGCTAGCTGGTTCTAATCATTCTTGCAAGTGATCATTTGAAAGGTTCATTTTATGACCCCTCAAAGTAGCACAAAGAATCTCACTCCATAACGTAATAAACAATTCTACAAGCAGTGCTTAATTAATTCCCGAAAGTCACCAAAAGGAGCTATTAATGATCTTTCTTTTTATCTAACCATAAATATACAAGTCTCCTGGGATAAAGGATTTAAAAAGAACATTCTGGCAAAACTAACTGTCAACTTGATAAAGCATAAAATGATCACCAGTGGGGGTAACTCGAACTACAGCAGCAATGCTACCTAGTCTGATGAGAACGTTAGGTTGGGTCGGATTAAATTTCTCTGAATGTTGTGCTTACCAAAAAGAAGACAGAACTGACACGGGGCAAAACAGACTCAAGCCAAGTGAATACATAGAAGAAATGCACTACAAGCTTTGGAAAATGTTTTATGAAGAATCATTTCTATTTGGGAATTTGCTTTACTGTGCAAACATCAATAGCCATTATAATTTAAGCGTGGGCAACATTTCAATGTTCTTTAATACACGTATTACAAAGAACAGGCTGATATTTTGAAGGGAACTTCAATGTTTTAGGAGCCCAAGTATCATTTTCACAAGTAAATCAGGCAGTAGGAAGCCCTTAAATGAAATTTAGTCTCCTGGCAACCCAAACCATTGCTGAAAATTAGATTTAGGCTTCTAAAGGGCTTTGATGTTTTTGAAAATCACGCTTCCTGCAGCACTGCACAGCTGACTAGGTGTAATACAGTAATTTACCCCTCCACTGAGGCTATCAGAATGGAATCACTTTGATGGCTTTAGTGAAGTCTGAGAGGCTGTTGGGTTTTTTCCTTACACTGTAAAAAAATTATTTACTGGCCATAGCCAGTGGTGATGGGAATCTGTGACCAGACACAGGAGGAGGAAAGAAAGAGAGAATCTGCCTTTTCCAAAATAAACTCATGCAATCCTTTGGGTGCTTATGCTTGATGCCAGTGGAGCCTATGCACTGGCATGTCCCACCTTCAGAACTGTTCCATGAGCTACTGGACCCTCTGTGGGCTGGGGCTTTCTGAATCCCTCCTGTGACACCCACACATGGAAACATGAAATAAACTGCCCCACAACACAGCCGTTATGGTTCTTGCCATGTGTGTGGAAAGCCAAGGTTCAAATTTCTCTCATAGGAGTTTTTAATTATTAATACAAAGAAACAAACACAACAGGAAACATTGAGAGACACAGTGGGAAATAACTAAAAGGACTTCCAGGCTCCTCATTCCTTGACCCCTCTGGGCTGGGCAAAGAAGGCCTCAGAACTTCAGAACAGAGCTTTCCGTCCCTTGACCTGTGGGAAGACTCAGGCTCCCACTGGAACATGGAGGCTGCCGCACATTGCTGCACTTAACACTGAAGAACTTATTGTACCAAACATGTTAGAAAACCTAGGAGTTCCTTTAAGCAGGAAATTTTAAAATTTCTCGGTTTTGTTCTAATCTTCAATAAAACATTTTTTGTTATTTTAATGTTGGAATTTCCTGTGGAACAGAAATTCTGTTTTAAAACCATTTCTATTCAACAGTGCTATTCAGATGGAAGCGTTTTCCTATTCATTCCACTTTGCAACTAACTGGTGCCACCCCAAATGTATTGCTCTTCCAAGAATGATGTGGCAGCCCTGGAATAGCTAATTAGTTGGGCTGTATGATGCCTCTGCCAAAAGTTTCAGCTTCCAGAGGCATTCCTTTAAGGAATGGTGGTGTGGGTTTGGCATTTACAAGGATACACATGGTTTTAGGAGCCCACAGGCACCAAAAGTTAGTTTGTGTTTTATAACTGCTCATCTCAACCCAGTCATTGAGCTGATGTCCTAACCACAGTGAGTCAAGCAAACTTCTTCAAAGCACTCATGGAGAAATCTTTTGGTCAATTTATTTTTCTTTTTTTAATAAAGACTTTGTCTTTGGGGAATCTTTTAAGAAAATTCCACTTCTATGGCTATTAACTGGGAAAATAATTCAAACGTTATTAGCATTGTAATAAATCTCTTGCAGATAAATACCATTGCATTTAGCCCTTGAAGTTTTGTACATTGATAACATAAATGAAAGATGTCTAAATCAGTACCTTTGTACTTGGTCACCACAGCTGAGTTGACACTCAGAGGTTCTTGGAAGGTGACAGTGAGTGATGTACTGCTTGTTACCATGAGACAGACATTGGTTGGCGCCTCAGGGGCTCCTGGGAGAGAAGAGAAAACATCAGCTCTTCAACACAACAAATCCTATTCAAACAATGTTTCTGAGTCTTCAAAGAACCCACTGAAAATCACCCTGCAATTGTGAGCTTTGCGTTGTAGGTGTTTGTGTTCTCTGCCTTTTGAGCATTTTAATTAGTGCCCCTGCTAACAATATCCTGCAGACACCATTTGTTTCTATCATGGTTTTTGGCTCCTTTCAGTTAAAAATATCTTCCTGCATATATGTAACCCAATAAAACAGATTCATGCTAATTATGTCAATGAAAAGCCCCTATAAATCTCTTGGGGTGGGGAGGAGGAGAGAGAAAGGACAAAACCACAAAGAGCTAATTAAACCTTTATGGTTTCACTCACAAGCTCAAATTATCAAATCGCAGAACGCATTTTTACATTATTATGATGCAGAAATTGCAAATTCCACATATGTGTCAGTGTAAAAGTTCCAAAATACAGTTGTCAGTTGAGGCCTAATTTTACTTTTATTTTTTAAAGGCTCAATTCACAGAATATCAATCAGACTCAATTCAGAAATCAGACAAAACATGTCATGAGTAACTGCTGGAATTGTTTTAAAAAATCATTATATTAGTTGAAGCAGGAAATACAGCAGTAATGTATCTAACGTAAGGAGCACTACATCTGTCTTGAAGAAGTAATCTTAAAATGCAATGAATTGGAGAAAATAATTTCTAAGTGCATCTATAAGGGTTGTAAAAATGGTAATGGCAATGATTGTATTTCATCAAATAGGATACAGCTAAAAGATCTACACGTGAAACAATTAAAGCCTGTTTATTCCTTCCTATGGCCCCAAATTCACATTTACTTTGGGTACAGGGTCACTTGTACAACTGTTTAAAGTGGCCCGATCTGTGACTATGCTGATAAAATGTTAGATGTGGAGGCCAAAGTTAAAATGAATTTTTGTAAGGAAAATGAAATTCCATTGTTTGATCATTCTGAATCAGAATAAGTTAAAAAAAAAAAGTCACAACAGAACAAAGGCCAATGTCCCCCTCTTCCTCCCTATTCACGTATCTTTTTCTCATCATCCTGTTTTAAACTTTGAGCACATTAAATGAGATCGAGGAGTAAATGTGAAGAAAAATGAGCAAGACCAAATCATTAGATCCTGAACTCATCTTACCAATTTTATGCAGCCCACTCCTAAGAGTTACGAGTTTGTCGCTCTCAGATATGTGGCCCTCTATTGTTCTGATATCCCTCATTTGTGGGAAGGCCGTTTAGCCATATGCCTCATTTCTTTCACCCTAACATTAGCCTGCTTCACATCAGTGCTGAGGATCACTTGATGAGAGCATGTTTGCTCAACAAAGGCAAAGGGTTCCCAGTTGTACAGTTCATCTCAGATTTTGCAGCTGATGTCTTCTACTTACTAGCATGCTCGTAGCCTGCTTTCATGCGCTTGTATAGCCTGTATCTCCATTCCCATGCTTTTAGTTGCTTCTCTTTCTCTGTGTTGTCTGTACCAAGGTCTTCATTCACCACTTGTGCAGACAATTCAGTAATTCGCTGCTGTGCTTCCTGGACCAATGTACTCAGATGCACTGACCTGCTTTCCATGTTAACAACTACCAAGAGAAGGGAAAAGTAATTGCTTGGTGGACTTATGTGACAAAATTCTGGCCTTATGCATTCTGGTATAACACATACAAGGTTAAGTACTTGAACACTTTGCTTTCTAGTCATTATCTTGTCATCAAGAGTATGTATATGTTTTAAACTGGTGGAATATTAAAAACCAAACTGAAATAATAAAACATTTGGTTTCTATCCAATTCACATTTCACCACAATACCATAAGCTTTCATAGAAAAAAGGTTTTTACTGTTTATAAACACATACAATAAAGCAAAGAGAGATCTCATTGGCAAAATTAAGAATGAGAGTTCTGTGTGTAAGAGCTGTGGCTGGTATAGAATGGATCTTTTTCCAGGTTTTCATTGTGCCACAATTTTGCCTGTGTAATGCCTAATGAGTCCTCTGACAGGCTGGACAGATAGTGAGCAGCTTGACACAGAGATTTTGTTTTGCTCCAGTGCTCAGAATAATTTTAATTTGACATTTAGCAGTTCAGATTGTCTGTGCTACGCAAAGGGGAAAAGGAAGATCACGTAAGTTACAAACTAAAATAGCCCAAGTCCACAAGACTGCCCTAAACCAGCCCCTTGTTATATATGAAAAGTGATGAATCAAGCCCTCTTCTCAACAATGTTCTTGGCCTGAAATTGTTCAAATTATTTGCAGTTTAGAAAATAGGGCTTGTAAGGGTATTTACCTGAAAATAAATGCAGCCACTGATCTGATGTGCAGTAAGAAGGAAATAGTGTACAAGAGATGTAATTCTGAAATCACAGAAAATTACTTTTTTCTGCTATTTTTTTTTCTCTGGTGTCTGGTATTTTTGCAGAAGAGCTCTTAGAGAGTCTTCATTTAAAAGGCCCCTATTTACTGAAAGCATTGTCCTAGCAAAAGCTAAACAGCACAAGCTGCTCTTAGCAATGACGGGGAGTTGCTCTCCTGGGACAGCCAGGCTCTATTTTTCCCTAAGGATTTTAGAGGACAGCATAAGTCTTGCAAAGGATGCACTGGTCACTCACTTGCATGAGCAGTAGCAATTTCTGAAAACTGTACCATACGTAGGACCAAGACTCTGAAAGGTTTTTGACATCAAAACACCACAGGAGCAAAGATGTTTGTGCATATGCACGTGTCATTCCTAAACCAGAATCATAAGGATTATGGGACAGATGAGATTGGAAAGGACATTCTTTAGTCCAACCTCCATGTTCCAAACGAAGTCAGCTGTGAGGTCTGACCAAGTTACTGAGGCCAATACCTATCTGGTCTTGAGAACTTCCCAGGATTGAAGCTTTACAGACTCTAGGCAACCTATTCCACTTCTTTACTGTCCTTAAGGTGAAAAGGCACATCTTTTATCCAGTCTAAACCTCTCATTTTATTTGCCCTCTGTCTCTCATAACAGTATCACAATTGAAGTTCATCAGAGTCCAAGAATAACCCCACATACTGATAGGAAAAGTGCCATGGGATCGTTAAAGCCACAGGAGGAGAGCAAATTACTCAACACTTCTGACATCCAAAAGGTTGTTTTTGAAGAATGTTTGTCTCCAAGACTTTGCTTTCAGAAGCTGGCTGGAAGCCATCCTTGAAGTTTGATCATTCTTCATATGGACATCAGAGACATATGGCCCAGCTTACTGGAATGTTCTGGTATCCTCAGAACTGCCTATTTACTGGGAGGCCAAAGGTGATATGGTTTCCTGGATCTAAGCCTACGATAAGCATGCAACATATCTGATAGCACAACAGGGCTGAAGAAGGAGATTTTATGTGCCAGAACTTCAGGTAATTGAGAACTGGCATCAATTCAAGTTCTCACTAAGGACCTGGCTCTGTCTGTTTAATCAAGATTCTGATCCACAATTGTCAGGTCTTGGAAATGCATCTGATCAGCCACTGGAAATTTTAATCTTATTTTCATTTGGGTTCACATGAGCAAACCAAGCCAAACAATGAGTATGATGAATAAGAGGAACTGAAAAGGTAACACAGTGGACTTCGCCTCCTCCCAAAAGAAATTAATATTTGAAATGCTGCACTGTCTGATCTTACTTTGTGTTCAAGAGATGTTGGGTTCCTGTTCAGATTTACACAGTCTGAGCTCCATGTGGAAATTAAGACCATAGTTTTACTTTCTATTGCTTTCTCTGCTGTTGTTCCTGTTCCAGGCAGAAGTCCAGGCGATGCAGATGGAAGTTATCTGTCCTCCAGATCCTCTTTTCTACAGTGATAGATTAGGGGCCATAATGAGATTTCACCTGGGTCACTACAGCTAACGCAGTGGAAGAGCAAGACTTTTCTCTATAGAAAGCTTTGTGTGCACTTGGAATGGAGAATTCTCCTGCCTCGCAGTCTCCCAGATTTGTGCGTCTGTCCTATAAGCTTCCAATGAGATTTAAGAGATGCTTGTGTCCTGTCCCAAAATTGGCATGAGTCGGAATTTTACTTTGAAATTCCACTCAGCATGCAGAAGCCTTGCTCAAATGCCCACCATGGAGAGAGGAAAACTCTCCTGCTGGGTGCTGCCTTGAGATCATACAAACAGAATGGATTTCATCCTAACAGGGTTGCTGAAGTGCAGAAAGCAAAGCAGAAAGACAAATAGAAAGTGAGTGCTCTCAGGTCCACGAGAATGAAGCCACATACAAAGGTGCTGTGAACTTCTTGAGTGCTGACAATAACTTTTTGCATTTTGCTCTCAAGGAGCACAACTGCAAACCCTGAAGCCAAACAGAAAGCCAACAAAGCCAACAATCGTTGCTTTTCAGTGAGAATGCTTCATCCATTATTTCAATCAGAAAAAACTAAAAATCAAGATAAGTGGAAATTTGGTGGGTATATTTTGAAATGGAAATGAGGTGGTTATATATTCATATTCTCTGTGTTCATAGGCATGTTTGCATTAATTACAGGAAATGAATACTAATTTATGATTGCCCCTGCTCGCCATCAGACTGCATTTATTTACAGATGAGGTCAATGAAAAATTAGTTTAGTCTTTTTTACTGCTGTTTAGAACACTCAAGACTGTGTTTTCCTCTAGATTTGTCATGGTTAATGAATGTTGCTTCAGCAGTCAATCATGTACTCTAAATGCTGTCACACTTTTTTTTAAAGCCTCAGTCATGAACCATGACAGAAAAATAAACAAATAAATATAAAACTAAAAAACTCTTTTCACTGAGCAGCTACACTATGCAAAAATCTCCAGGGAAGGTTAAAGGAGGCCAGAATAAATGATAATATAAGTGCTGTGGACATAGAAAAGCAATAAAGGTGTACCAACACTGAGGGTCTGGCAAAAAAGCTCAACACGCACACGCACACACACTCTCCAGTGAAAAAACTGGCAATGTTAGTAGCCTCAAGGTGCAATTTCCTGGAGCACTGAGATTGACAAGCCAGCACTAAATGTTGTTAATTTAACTAACTTCAAATTAATGGCAGAGTCTGCAGTGGCCGAACCCCTCAAACACAGTCTCATTATAGCCTTGCTGGGAATGTCCTAAATATAGGCATTGACAGTTTAAAACAAATTCGCATACATTGGTGTATTTTTAGACACAAGTAAGGCGTCAGAGTTTGTGTCATGGTATAGGGTTGATTAATTGGGTTGGTAAGTCACCCTCCAACCCACAAACTGGGCATTAAAATGCCCATGAAGGAATACAAAGGAGTTTTAGAATTACAATATGTAGTTATAAGCGATATTGGTATTCTGGTAAAGTGAGAAGGTCTGTTTTGTATTTGGATTTTCACTGGTTCTGTAGAACTTTGAAATTCTCATTGAAGTGAGATTTTAGGCCATTTGAAGAGTCGGATTGAGGAGTCTGTGCGTAATGGAAGTGATGGATTTCAACACAACCTGTCACCTGAAGGCAGCAGAGCTAAAATCAAAAGGATAATCAAAATAAACCAAAGTCTAGACAACCCATCACCCTTTCATTTTGATGACAAACTCTGTATTTCAGACCATGGCATTTGAATCACTCAGTTCTTGCATCCATATTTTTAAAGATCTTTTCCTCAGCATTGACACTGACTCTCCTGTCCCACTGTTAATCACATTAGAAGCTCAGCCTGATTCATCACTTGGTGTATTTGACATAGAGAACAAAAAACATCTACTGAGCATGCATTCAAGAAGCAGACATTGCTGCAGATGCCCTCCAGCACTGTGGCACTACTGCTGGTAAAATCATCCTTAGGATAAAAACCAGGCAATTTTTGTGTGTGAAGTAATTAATTTGCCAAAAGAGCAGCAAATCTAATCTACAGGCAATTATGTAAATCAATTAAATTTGTGTCTTTACTTACAGTGTGGGCTTTCCTTTGCCCCAACGTGTAGAAGGGTCCTAGCAATAGGGACGTTGTTTGTCAAAATGGCAATGTCCAAAGGAGTTAGTCCCTCACTGTTTGGTGTGTTCAGGTCCAGTTCTTCCAGTGTGTATTGATAAAGAAGAATTTGAACAGCATCCAGATCTTGCTGCTCTACAGCCTCAAACATAGCTTCATTGCACTGGAAATTCTGTGTATAAATAAAATGAGAAAGTCAATAAAACTTTTCAAATGTCAGTGTTTTAAAAATAAAATGAGAAAGTTTGTACTTTTTGAGATTGCTGTAAAATACTGATCCTCTGGCCACAGCTTAGGTTCAGCTGGAAATGTGGAAAAGGTTTGCAGCAAAACTGCGCTCTGTCTGCTTCTGGACCTTGTGTGCTTGAACTTGCTGCATGTCCCTGGAAATATTCAAATGAGATTCAAGCCTACACAAAACAAACCCATATTTATGTAGACATCTGTCCTATAATTGAACTCTATGAGCAGTATTTTATGTTTTCGGTGTGAAACTGGATGAAACACTGATTTTTGCAGAGTTTTGGACTACTGAGTTTTCAAACTCAGGTGATCAAACAAGCTGTTCTGGAGAAAACCCTTCACAGCTCCAGTGTGAGCAGTAACAGGTACTCTTCATTCAAACACTTCAGTCATTTCTAGGTGCTTGCAGTTCTGCATTTAGTTGGAAGTAGAAGCAGCTTTGAAATGTACAGTCATTAAAGAAGTGAAACTGAAAAAATTGGCATGCCCAGAAAGTGATGTGTCTGAACAGCAGAGAACACAGGAGCCAACCCCCTGAACATACATGGCACCAACTCTCAAGCAGGGAGAACCACTGAAACTTTTCCTTACCAATGTCAAGGAGGTAAAACAATGCTAGAATACCAAGAAACCTCTCACTTAAATGAGCAGGGGAGAAGAAGGTGCAGGAGAGTAGCATGGCCTGCAGGTTTCTGTTCTGAGAACATCCTTCTGGAGCCTACAGCAATGACATGCTATGTGCCAAGATTCTTTACATTCTCTCCCACTGTCCCATTGCCATAATTACCCAGTCGATTTTTCTCCTCTTAAGAATGAATCAGTAGAAGCAAGAGGCTCAGCTAAGCAAAGAGGGCTCAGCATGTGGTCACATAAAGGAACAGAGATCTGTGTGGATATATTGTGCCAGTGGGCATACTGGAGAAATGCATACATAGAGAGAAGTTATCCAGATACATGATGTGAACTGGATTCCTGTGCCCTGAAACCCACATGGATGAAACAGAAAATATAGAATTGAAACAGCCTTCTGCTGTGATTAGAAATAAGGATTTCAGCCACAGCAAAGCTTCATTTTCTTTTTTAAATTGATGTAGTTTTATTTGGCATATCCCTGTCCAAGTTTTGCTCTCAGGGGAACAGCACTTTCTGGAAGAGCGCTGATCTGATGGAAGATCTTTTGTCTCCTCCTAAAAAGCATAGACTAATAGTTTGCTAGCAGTTCAGAAAGCTAGGGTCCACAGCTACCCTTTGGAATTTGATCAGTTCTAGAGGGTTTGTTTCAGTTGTGCTTCAGAAGTTCTTGGGCCTGACAAAATTCTTCTGCTCTACTGTTTTGCATACAAAGTATTGGTACCACGCTACAAAATACATATGTTAGATAACTATGTAAGGATGAGATGAATCACAAAGCAATAAAGCAAATCTAGGAGAGTAGTGCTGACTTGAGAATGTACCTTTTAGGCACTTAAGTACAAAAGATAGCTCATGCTGGAGAAATATTTATGCTGTAGTTTTCCATACAGAATAAAAGATACTACTTAAACAAGTGCTTCATCAAAATGGGTCTCTGTCAAATTCTTGCTTACAGTCTGGAGATTCTTCTCTAGACTGTAAGATTCAGAGTTAATTCCATTCTCAAATGCTTAGCTCATACTGCAGTGTTAGGTGTAAGAGAAAAGGCTCAGAAAAAAGGAACAGTTAAATGGTAAGCAGCCAGATTTATCTTTCTTTATCCACCCCCCTGTCAAAGCAAAAGAATGTCTTTAAGGACATATACTGTCATTAAAGGGGGCACAGCTCCAGAAAATCTTAGAATAGAGGCCAGCGCATATTTCTCTTATTATAAGGTAAAACTTAAAGACATATTTTTACTGCAATGCAGCAGTTCTTTTCATTCCAGTAGCTCCACACATCTGCTGCCTTGTTTATACAGCACCTTATCATCCCGAGATCAGAGATCATACTCTTATTCTTGTGTTTTAACCCTACTCTTGAAGTGCTCTGGCTAGAAATTAAATAATTTTAATTAATTTAATTCAAATGTCAAAATATTTTAATTAATATCATCAACTGCCACTCAAATCAATGCTATGCATTGAACAGCTGTACTCAAAATTAACTTAAATAGATCACTGATGTTCCACCTAAAGAGCTGGAAAAAATAGCAGCTGTGCTCCTTTGCTCTTTGAAACTTCATTATTATGAATGCAGAACTAATCTCATAGACTGAGTTTTCATATAAATTATTAGAAATGCAAAACATATTCACCAATTCTCCAAAAATATACGTTAACACTGTAAGAAACATTAATTTCCTCACAGTTTACACCCATTTGAAATTAATTTTCTACTGATTTTGGAACTTCTTCTATACTGTTGTTTATGGAAAAAAAGGGTAGTTAAGCTTCAGAAGCATCTGCATTTTGATGCAATCAGGAAACAAGCAAAATTGTATTACTCTTGTAACTGATCACAGCTAGGAAAATCTACTTATTTAACAGTACATTCAGAAGAGGCTTACTACAAAGGGAACTGGTTGAAGTAAACTGAATGATTACATTAGTTTTCCTTTCTTTTAGTGAAGTTTATCTTAGGAAACATGGGCTAATGGTCTGAGAACAGAACAAAAAGGTCCTGCTGATGATACTGCTTAATAACAGGCTTGTGGTCCTCACTTAGGGCAGAAAATTACCTATTCCTTGGTTCACATTTCCAGTGCTGTGGCACTGGGTACATACAGGGTTTTTGCCTTTTCTGAGATCAGAATGGCCATTCTCTTTTAATTTACTTGGTATTTGAGCATAAAAGTTAAATGAATTGGCATTTGTAGTGTGCTACCCTAGGCACTCAATACCATTACTTGGCTTTAATTCCAATTTTGGGTGAAACTCATTAAATCCTGTATTACATTTCAGGAGTTCCTTGCGCTATATGAAAACAAAACATCTCTGTTACATAGTAAAACAAATGATGGCGAGGTTCAGTATCACAGCTGAAATTAACCTAACGATACAGCTGACAAAATCATCTGGCCATTTTCACACATATGTACACACATTTTACCTACCTGAATGATTACTGTAGAGTTACTGTTAAACATTTGATTTGGATTCAGTTGTCAAAATTCAGACCTGCCTCGATGCCTTTCAAAATGCATCTTTATATTTTTTTTTGCTTGCCAAATGAAATACCTGAGGTATATGTGAAATTTTAGCCTTAAAGTTGCTGAACAGAATCTAAGCACACGCTTAAGTTAATTCCCCATAAATGCTCTTGCCAGCTAATCTGTTGGTGAGGATGTTTCACCAAAAGGGGAAAAATAAGAGCAAATTTCTATTTCTTCATTTCATTAGAAAACTAATTGAAAAAGCTGCACTGATTTAAACAAGAAACAGAGCATGAATTTTATAAGCTACTTCATCCAATCCAAACAATTATGAGACCAAATTGCAAATATCAGGTTTTCCAAATGAACAATTCAGACACAAGCAATAGGCTGAAATATGCTGGCACGTCTCATCACTTCAAAGAGCGTAAAAACATGGGAGCTGTGATATGGCCTTTCTAACTGGGCATGTATGCATCCCCTCATCCACATAGCAGTGCGCATCTAACCACGCTATTGCTATTTCGGTCAAGAAACATCCTTGTCAGACAGCAAAATATCTACCGCATTTTCAGCCATGCCAGTAGACTGCCCTGTTTGGATGTCTGCATCGAGCCCAGCTCTCCAAGTCTACAAAAACACTTGACACACCTGACCAACTTTTCCCCAGCTATTTGCTTTCACAGAGAAACAGAAATGTATTTGAAGATTATATAGTTTTCTGCCAAAAGCTGATCATATTGAGTGTAAAGCACTCTCTAGAATTGCAGCCAAGGAGTAAGAAACTCAAAGAGTGTTAAGATAGTTTCTTTAGACCCATGTGCGCAATTTTAGCCCCACTGGTATTATCACAAATGTTAACAAGAGCTTTCTGATTTTTGCCTTCATTTACATTTACTGGATAACTTTTGCTTTGAAAGGACAAAACCACTGAATTCAAACAAATTGAATCCCATTTACAAGTGATCGGCTAAAGCTTAGGGGCATTTTTTACATTGCTTTTCCCTTGACTCAGTTCTACAACCTCTAATCATTAGGTAGACAGCTGTGCTATGTGATTAATTTATTTAGGTGTTACTCTGATGCACAAATGTGTATACTGAAAAGGACTACAGTATTGCTTTGCAGTAAGTAATAACCATGTTCCAGTAAGTGATTCAGTGCTGGAGTGTTTAGAAATGCGATCTTATGTAGCTTAATTAAAATGAAGTGCCCCTTTCAAGATATTTGCTCTAGGTTTGACTGAAAAAGTCCACTATGTGCTACTGGAGTCGGAAAAAACATTAAAGTAGTTTCTGCAAAGACTTGTTTTGATAAACATGAGTTCAAGAATAAAGCTATTTTGGGACATTGCTATGTCTGCAGCAAGACAACAATTTACTGAATGGAAAGTGTTGCACAGCAAGAGAGAATGGAAAGAAAACTCTTCGCTGGCCAAAGCTGAAAGAAAACAAACCCGAACAACTGTTGTTCACTTGTCTGGAAACATGATTTTAGTCATTGGCTTTGCTTTGTAGCACAGAAACCCAATGATTAGAAAATACATCAGCTAGCAACTTGACCTGGAATGTTTCCACCTCTTCTCTGATGGATTCCTTGTTATTTATTTCTAGGGACAACTGTGAAAACAACAGGCAAAATGGATAGAATGGGATCTAAAGACTTTTAAGTTCAGTTGGAGACTATTCACTGGCTTGTGGACATCAGCTGAGGCCCCAGGCTGGTAATACCTGGAGGTACCTATGACATCTTAAGTTTTCACAAAGTACTTTTTCTTCCTTTCTTGAATCACTTGTGTATATATATATATATATATATATATATATATATTTAATTCATATTTCGTTAAATTAATGCCAAGACCTTAGTCCTAAAATAAAGGATTATCACTTACATAGCTTGTCTTTGGCCTTCATGAAGGTCAGACTTTAACACAGGATCATAAATGGTAATTCTATGAAGAGCATACAGCTCTGGTCAGGGAACAAAGTAAGATGATGAAAATTGCACAGATTAAAAGCAAACTGAGTAAGGAGATGAATAGGACAGTAAAATGCCAATTTGATAAATATCAAGTAATTACCATTGAGGTCTTACGGAGGCTGAGCCGGTCAGATCGAGCTCTGAAATACGCTTCGTCAAAGGATGTATGACTCCCCTTGAGCTTCTCTGACAGGTTCCGATATAGCCGCTTGGCAGCATTTGGGGAGGAAGGCATGCTGTTCTTTTTAGTCTGGAGGAGACTTAAGTTATGCATTTGCTGTGTCATTTTCAGCTAGTGGTTTCTAGAAGAAAAGCAACAGCTGTTTAGCAAGGTTTTACTGCACTAACATCATTGATCAGAGCTGTATCATTGAAACGCACATTGTAAGACTTCTGTGACAAAAATCACTTTCATACTTTTCATACACACGAACACTCAGAAGCATGGTTTTGAGCTTGTTCAGTGGCAAATTGCTCTTTATTTAGTGCCAGGATATCTATGGGGAGGGAGAATTAAGGATGGAAAAATAAACCACACCAGAACTGTTTGCTAATTTGTATAAGGAGAAGGGGTTTCATTTAGTTGAGGAAGCAGCCTTTTGATGGTGTGAGTTCTGGTCATGCAGGAGTCAGAAAAAATTACACCCAAATGTAAATGTTACAATACAGTTTGGGTAACATGTACATAACCTGCACTTTGTCAGTATGATGGTTTCTTAAAACTGAATCAATTGAGAGGAAAAAAAAAATCTAACTGATTATGGAACACAATGCAGTACTGAATTTTATAACTGGTCAAGTGACTTATATTTGACACAGACAACTGTGGCAAGATGTGCTTTATTTCCAGCATTACTACCTGCTAGGAAACTGTGCTCTGAAAGCATGTGGTCTTTTCAGTTGGGTGGCTGGATTCTCCTTCTCCAGAGACTCAAGCGGTATTTCTCACTCAGAAAGAATGGCTGAATTCAAAATACTTGTTCATCTCTGAACCCATCACAAGCTACTACAGAAATAATGCATGAACATACATTTAATCTGCATCACATGCTGACATGTTATCATCCATATGAAAGTCCATTGCTACAGAGAATGTTTTTGTTAGTTTTGAGGAGCGTTTGGCAGGGAGGGAACCTGCTCTGTAACTGAGACTCCAAAGGTATTAAGTTGGAGCAAATAACAGCTGAAACGCAGAAAACCTACTTGGGCTCTGCTGTAGGCAGAATGAGGCATATGTGCATTTTTAGTTTAAACCACCTGTGGCCAACTAGTGTTCAGGTTATTGCAAAAAAAAAAAAAAACAACCAACCCTTACATTATTTTACAGGTAAAATAATCTGTGAATCTAATATATGCTGCTTAGAGTCTCATACTGAGTAGTTTCTTCCCTCATTTAATGAGCAGGCATTGACTTTGTCTATGTATTGTGTAACTATATCCTGCTCTCTGTTTGCCCTGCCCATTTAGACTACAAACTCTTCCAAGAGGGACTGCCTCCTCTCTCCAAGACTGACTAGCCTAATAGGATTTCCGTATTATCCCATAATTAAACAACACTTTCTATGCTCTATGATTACAGCCATTTTTCCCTATTAGGAAAAACTGAATTAGTACTTAACTCTCTGGGAATAGTTTTGCCTTTCTGAAGGAAAACAAAGAATCAGATTTGACCCAACTGCAAGCACAGGAAAATATCCCCAGGGATGTCTGTGAAAGGGTGACAAATTTCTTCACATTTCCTTTTTCCCCTGATAAGAGTGTGTACACATTTGTAAGACAGAACATCTCTCTGGAAGACCTCACAGATGTGACAGTAGACCTGGCTACCCTTTCAGACTGTCTTTTCCTGGAAATAATCTTTAGATTCTTTGTACTATGTACTATGCTACAGATCCTGTAACTTTCTGTTCTTACGGTCTCAGCCTGTGCCTAAGTAGATCAGACTGCAAGACCAGACTCTAATAACTATAATCATAAAAACTTTCTTTACTAAACACTCTCCCTGCTGTTGAGGCTGCTTGGTGACATGAATTGTCCCCTAAGATTAAAGACACCACCCAGGTCTCATAAGCTTCCTACACCTTCTTTTCTCATTTGTATGTTGTGGTCCTGAGCGCAAAAGTATCTGATTACAAATAGTCTCACATATTCTCCAAGCTCATGGGGTATTGAAGAGAGACCAAACCTCTGAATGAAGAGAGATTGAGTCAACATAATTGACATGTGTGATGAGAAGACTTTGATAAATTAGAACAACAGTGTGTGCAATCAGAAGGGAATTATGTGAGCTGTATCCTTGAAACTAATATGCAAGTGGGGATGTGATAAGAAATGAGCTTTCTGGGACTCAGGGAATGACAATACTACAGTGATTTTGGGCTGCTTCTCTCTGAGCTTATGGAATAAAGGTAATGTGAGGCACACACAAGCAATTATTTCTGCCTTTTAATTATTACATGCACTTCAGCAGTGCCTACAAGGACTAACAGAAATCACTGTCTCTTCAAAGGAAGTGGTTTATTCTCCGCCCTGCAAAACAGACTAGATAGAAAGGCTTAGTAGAAACCAAGAAACAGAGCAAATCAAAGTCATTGTCGTGAGAAGCTGCTTGTCAACATCAGACTAGAGCAAAACACTAAAATTATGATCACCAATGCCAACTCACAAATGTTCCAGACATGCCAGAGTGTTCTGGAGCCATGTGCTGGAGTAAGTGTGGGTTAGGAAGTTAGAACAGCTAGAACTGTACGGAAGTTGCTGGTAAGTGTTGAGTCTTAATACTGGGCAAACTTAGAAGAAGACAGCCTTTTGTTTTACAGATGCATCTGTGGAACCGTTTGGGAGGATAAACATGAAATAAAATTCTTTTTTAGGATAGTGAAAAGATTTCATTCACATCTGTCTCTGTTTAGCAGAGCTTCAACACTTCTGTTTGTTTTCAGTATTTATTACAAATAAGCTTAAGAAATAGCCAATTACCCCCAAAGCTGAATACTCATCTTCCACTGGCCCATCTTACTGGAATTTTAAAGGAATTCAGTAATTTACCCAATGATAATAATAATTAGCAACAATAATAATTTCATTCTCAGCTAGAGTAACACTTCCATAGTTTTTATTAGTATATCGAGCTACAGATCATCCCATACAAATTTCTCCTCTTGCCTTTGCTTGCAAGAATTTCTTCCTTTCACCAATAAAGCATGGGTCAAGAATCAGTCTCAAATTACAGATAAAAACACACCAATAAATGTCATAGGAATGCTCTTAAAGGAAGTTTCAATTTCTTAAAATCATTTAATTCCAAGAGTACAGTCATTGAAGTCCAAATACCATGCAGTTAGTAATAAACTCATGACAGAGAGAACAATTTGCATTTACCACACAAACCTAAACATCATCAAGACAAGGACAAAAAAAGAAGAGCAGAGCTGTGCAATACTTAATTCAGAGGTAACTCAGCATTAAAACTGCTTTATTGGCCAGCAACAGGGTGCTTTAAAAGCCAAATTCAAATACAAATGAATATAGATTTGTTACCATTATGAAAGCTTTACTTTTTTGATTGGCAGATACTGACCCAGTATTAACGCCCTTTTAAAAGCATATTGCAGAGAGAAAAATAAAAAATTAAATACCTAAATTCTAGATCACTGTCTGTGGTATGTGGCACATATGTGCTGAACTGTACAGACAGGTGCACTAGCAGGACACAGCCCAGCTGGAAAAGCATTAGCTTTAGGAAAATACAACAGCCAAGAAACAACGAAACACTATATGTTTCTTCTTAAATATGTTAAGAAACATAAATTTATGAAACAATTTTACACTTGAAACTAATAATTAGGTATCAATGCATTAAAGAGTTAAATGTGACTTACCAGCTTAGGCTATTCCAGGCAAAGCGTGAACAAGTTGCTGGTAATTGTCCACTGTCACTGTTTGATGATTCACATTGGTTTTGCTTTCTCTGCTGCTTCAGCCTCTGGGCAAAATGAGAAAACCTCTTCCTTACACTGCATGAATGATCAGATATGAAAAAGCTTATTACCAGCAATTACTGAAGTCCAAGCTCATTGATAAGATCTCAGAGCAAACCAGCATTTAAAAGCAAATAGTGCTGTATCACAAGTAAAATGTTTGGTACCTTAACTCTGTCCTAGCTACCTGTGCAGCTATAGGAATGACTGATACATAAAGCTCTTGCCTCCATAGTCAAAGATGATTCGAGTTCTGTGTGCTTTCAGCTTGGTGCATCCCTTAAAATTGATCAGCAGCACAGAGTACGAGTAGGAAAAATAATTACTGCCAGAGTAAACAGAACTGTGATAGTAATTAATTTGCCATGAAGTAGTAGCAAAAAGACGCTAATGCAGCCATCTTAAAGCAGTTAGTTTTATGTTAAATCAATAAAAGTGGGGGGAAGGGGGGGGAAGAGGGAAGAATCACAGTCCTACACTCAGTCCTTTAATGCATGTTGCATGTGATGTATTGTTTCTTCTTTCTTCAAGCTATCACTACAGCTGTCTGCAATCATAGAAACAAAAGCAGCAACCGCATCCATAGCTATGGGACATCTGTGAGACCGTTTGGAAGCTCCCAGCCTGAACAGGTTATGCTTAAATTAAGATTATTAAATAAATGAGAAAAACATATTTTATTGTTGCCTCTGTTTCAGCTAAACCAGATCCTGTAATGGCTGCATTAAGAGCTTCCAAAAATTGTAGAATGGGGACATTTCAAAATACTTTTTTTTTTCTACCATAGGAAAAAAAAAAACAAAAACGCAAATGCTGAATCCCACAGCACCCCACAAAGATGTTCCAAAATCAGAATATGGAATAACCATACCCAGCCTTAGACCTCTAAACCTAGTGTAGATGATAAGCAAAGACAACAGCCTAGCAAATAGTTATCCTTTCTGGAGAGTCCAGTGGGTTAAATTCATGTAACCGAAACACTCCTGAGGAGCACCTGGCAATAGACAAAACTCAAAACACAGATTCCTGTGTCTGTCATAGCCAATGATCATTAATAGCTACAGAAAAGGTGGGGTTTATTGCTGTTAAAGGGATAATGGGGCTACTGTGGCAATCTGCTGGGAAAATTTGACTTGCTTTATTCAGACATGGTGTTTGAAGTTTGAAACCTCCCAAAAGCCAGTGACCAGACTGATTCTCCCACCCTTCAAAACCAGGTTAGGGGTACTGTACCTCATACCAAATAGCACCTTTTTGCCAAAGAAGCTAAAATCCATCTTGGGCCTGACAGTTATATCTCATAGGACTTACTATATACTTTTCGAATTAATCTGGATATGAACCTAACCAAAAAATGATTTTTCTGTATGCACATTTGCATTTCCTCCCATCCAGCCTGGATTTCCCCTCTTTTAGTTTAAAACCATCACCCTTTCTCCTGTCACAAAGGACCTTGCTAAAAAGTCTCTCCCAAATGGCATATATATTATTATATTGCATATTCTCTGCATATTTTGCTGCAGCAGAGAACTACAAGTGTGATGACAATGAGCTATGCACAACATTCCTTCTCCTACACCATGAACATCACAAGCTAATCGTGTACGGGATTCCCTCTTTTGTTCTGCTGCTCCAAGGACCAGTAGCGAGAAGGCTGCAGGACAGCTGACTGAGGTTACTGCTCCCTGCCAAGGAACTCTTCCGAAAACCACTGAATACCTCTCTAACACTGGGATACTATCTGGGAAAAAAACATGCTGCAAATCTGAGATGTCTAAATTAGTTAAAATTAAATGTAAGCAGAAAGATCCCATTTTCAGTGCTGTGCTGAATAGGGATGATTCTTCTGAGTCAAAATCCCTGATTAAGTTTTTTTTGGTCTCTATAGAGCCCATCTATAGAACTCACTTGTGAGGGAATTCTCAACTATTTTCAGGGCAAAAACCTGAAGTGTGTTTACTGAAACCAGGCTATATAGCAATTCCTCATTGTGGGGCAATACTCCCCCCTCTCTCCTTTGCTTTCTCCCTTCAGCTTGGTGGAAAGTAGAACTTTTGCTATTGCCATTTCAATATTTATAATGCTTAATACATCAACTCAGACATTATTAAGATCATTAAAGGACGTTTTCTTGCCCAAGTTAGTTCTATGAAAGACAATTAGTTTGTTTATATTAAGCAAACAGATTTCTAACCTTTTTGTCATATGAACTTATATTCATTATTAAGCTGTTCAAAAGCCAGAAGACATAAAGCAACGCTCAGAAAGTAAAAGAATTACGAATTTACTGAACAACAAAACCATGAAATTAATTACTAAAAATGCTGAATGAATGTGTGTAAGTGTGAGAGACACCTACATCTGGAGGTGAAGTAGACTTAAACATCTACAGAAACCAAAATCCTGGTTTTATGATAAAACACATGTAAGCTGTTAGCCTGATCTTGTACAGAAAGCTGACTGTTCTTAGCTTTTGATGATTCCATTAGATGGCTCAAAGATTTCAGCCATTTATTATTTCCCTTGCCTATATTTCATACTAACTGAACAGATTATTTTGCTTGCTGTACTTATACTACTTAACCTGCTGCGACAGACTTTCGTTCCATGTTTCATCACTCTGAAGTTTATCTACATGCAGTACACATCATGAGCTGGCTCCACAAGCTGCTATCATTATTATTACTACTGCTAAGGTGAAGATATCCTGAAGATGTACAGTGAGCAGTACACTTCGTTTAGAGAGGCCACCCAAGTTGGCTGATCAACTGTGAAAATGTTTATCCTGTATTGTTCTCAGCTTTATACACCACAGATATTTTTAGGAGCCAAGCATCACATTGTGTTGGCCGTTAATTCCATGAAGCAAGTCCTGTTTGTTTCTTCTGGACACCGGGCACAGTTCTGGCATGAGGGAGGCTGCTCTCACAAAGAGGTTGGGAAGCTCACAGCTGCTCTGTGTGAAGTCTCAGGGTAGCTGGAGACACTCCTTTTCACGTCGGCAATCAATAGGTGGCAGTATCCACCCAGGTCTTCAAACCCCTCATGTGGTCCATGGAGCAGCAGCCGCACACAGGTATCACATTGTCCCAAAGTACACGATGTCCAAAGGGTAATTGCAGATGGCAGCTCAGTAGCAAGCACGTCCTCCACGTATAGAATCCAACGCTCGTCGAGTTTATATCACCTTGTGTTCTGACGGTGTGCACACACTCAGCTTGTGAAGAACACTTGATAGACCAATAGTCTGGAAACTGGGTGGGAAGTCTGGAGCAAAGAAACTCAGACATGCGGAACTTGAAAACTTCATGTGGAGCCTGACTTTACTTCCTAATCAGTCAATGGAAAAGCTGTCATCATCATTAGAGACAAAGCTGTATCTTAGACTTTTCATGATCCCCCTAAAAGAACAAACACTGCTCAAACGTCAGATGTGACGTCCTCTACCCTGTCATGGCTGGGATCAAGCAATGGAGCCAGGCAGATCAGGTAACTGGGGATGGGATCTCCAGCCTCTCCCAAAGTCACATGGTCAGTCCAACTCTGACTTCTGTATGCTCTCTTTTTGGAAATCCATGACTAGAAAGGTGTTAAAATGACTCTGCTCAGACATTGAGGTGTTTTTCTCATGCAGCCAAAAATATACAATGGGAAAGGTTAAGACAAAAAAAAAAAATCCAACCCCCCAAATCCCAAACAAGCCTATAAAAGTGTATCTTCGTCTCCACACTTACTCTTTGCTGCAGATTTTTATACATATAAGCTACTGTAGTGAATTCCAACTCTGGTTTTGGCAATTTCTGCCTCTCTGGCTCCCTGTTTACCTATCATCTTTCACACGTATCCTTTTGCCAATCTGTTCATTCCCTGTCCTATTCCCTGGTCTCTTGTATTTCCTCAAGGACATTGATCTGAGTCTTACTGTTTCACTAGTTTCTTTCGCCGGTGTTCTTGATCCAGATCCATAGCAAATAACCTATTATCCACAGAGACACAGAAGTATTCAGTATGTTCATAAAAAAAGACAAATATTTCCCAGTTCATCAGTCATAGACGTGATCAAACTCAAGAAATTCTGAAATTGTGAGTGAAGAAAAAATAATTGTCTTTGGATTAAGTTTAGAAAATTTCCCAATGAAATAATTCCACTAAGTGTTTTGAAATATTTGAGACACCCATGATGTAAGTGGCTAAAAGAAATCGAGCTTGGCAGCCCCAGCTCCTCCAGGCTTCCTGCCTTTGCTGTGGTTCCTAATCTCAGCACAACCTGGATTTCAACATGCTCTGCTGCAGGCCTGAAGCTGGCAGATATGTCAGTGCCTGGGACTTGCACACTCCCACTTCCACAGGAAGGGACATGGAGGCCAGGAGATCTCCAGCTTTGTGGCAGCTTGGATGGCAGCAGTGCCTTGGAGCTGCAAGCCCTGGTCGCTTGTATTTCACAGTATGGGTTTAAGTGAACTAGTAGGGCTGTAGAACTGTTTGGCTGGAATTCTTCAAAGATGGCATGAGTTTTGTACAGTTTGCTTTCAACAAAGTGGCTTCCCCCCCAGTCTTTTTAATTGGAAGATTCCAGAGAAAAACGATCCCTGGCTGCAGTGGAATAGAATCAGGCCTGAAGTGTTTAGGCACAAACCAGTACTTAGTTATTTGGGATCGTTTGGGGTGTAAATTAAACAGAAATCCCTTAACCTAAAAAGTTTGTCAGGTCCTTCAAGCCATTACTGTTTGAAACAAGGGATCAAAGAGCAGCATGTGGATCCTAAGTGATCCGCATGCATACCACAAGATGCTCACGGACATGGCTTGATGGAAATGCTGCCCTATTGTAAAACCAAGGTAGAGCAGGACACTCTTTGCTAACAGGTCCTGCAGTCATTCTCCATATTAGGAGAAAACCTAAACCTGTGCAAATACATCTTCAGAAAGGGTATAAAAGAACATACAGACCATCACACGTATCTGAAGATATTGCTGTTCTTCAGAAGCAAATTACCCAGCTGAACATCATAGGAATAATGAAGTTGTCAGCAAGA